CTGATAAGTAGTGTTTAACTTTTGATTTAACACTAAAAATTAAAACCCTCGGCGCGCACTGCAGCGCAAGCAGACAGATGCGCGACTCAGAGCAGCATGTGTCACTGACACCAGACTCAGAGCGCAGCGGACTGGTGGAAAATGTCACCATCAGCATATTATTTTACATCAAAAAATCTATTTTATCATTATTTTGAGTCACATTGTTGAAAGAATTTAGTCGTCTGTGTTCAAGCAGGATAATAGCAGGTCTCCATTCATTGCACGTCGGGCTTTCTATTTCCTTGTCGGAGATGTTTTCTTTTTTAATTACATGATAGCTATTCTCCCTTAACTCACCAGTAAAGAATAACTTTGTCCATTTCAAATAACCTGTGGCAATAATAATATCCCTGTTCTCTGATTTACTGTGAAACTTTTTTAGGCAATTCATGCAACAATCAGACCAGATAACTTCTTTACTAGGCCTAATGGGGCCGGCCTTCAGTGTTACGTTCAAGGTCCCCTCAAAAAATGGGAGAATATTCAATTTTTTTTCACAATCTAATCCCGTGCCATCAAACAAAGCTTCGAAGCTTCGAATTTTTTGGGTCAGCCCTACCAGCATTAAAGCGGCAAAAAGCAAAATCATTGCACTGCCTGTAGACCGGCTTGTAAACAAGGGGCTGAAGATCAACACAGAGAGAGGATGTGTGACGTCATGCTATACTCTAGATGAATTTACACCTCCTAGTTCTTCACATAGTGATTTTTTTAATTCCTTCAATCTAGAAATGAGGAATTTCCGCTTATTGCCCCTTTAAGAGTCACATTGTCTTTCTGAATAAGTGCTGAGCAGTGGATCTGATTTATGACAAATGGTTTATGTGGGTTATGAAAAGTAACTGATAAATATTTAAAGAAAATGAGAAAAGACTTTGGTGTGACGGTTAGCCTGTACAGTCATGGGGGAGACATGAGCACAAGTCAAGAATCTCAGGTCCAACCCAAAACCACTAAACCACTAAATTATGGAGAGAAGTATCAGTGAGAGTCGCATTGATAAGTAGTATTGGTATCAATTCCTATCAAAAAGTCAAAACCTAAATAAAAACTATTCTGTAAGTTATTTATCATAACATTTGTTGGTGGTAATGCATTAGTCAGACATTGTGGGTTATGTTTGGCAGACATGCTTTAAATGTTATTTATGGTTTTAGTTGGCTNACAGGCCCCAGGTCTTCATGTAGACGGCTATTAGATGTTTTTTAAACCAAAAAATGCTTGCTGGGGACCTTTAAATTTAATTAAACGAGGCTTCGAGGCACAGAAAATTCCTCTATCATTTTTTGTAATGGAGGTACTACTTACTGGAGGAATCGTTGCAGCCCTACTCTTTTCCCATTTCTTCTGGCTTCTTGCACCTTGGGCCACAGCTTAGCCTGGGCTTTGTTTTGTTTATTTGTTTTGTTTATTTGCACAGTAAAAAAGAAAAACAATTGTTGATTGTGCAGGTGAGATTTAAAAAACCCCGAGAGGCTTATAGAGGAAATCTCACCATATCAGCATTAAGAACATATATTAATAAATCCATAGCAAAAAACAGACAAACAAATATAAAAACATGGAATCAAAAAGCAAAGACAACAACAAATAGAATTGTGAGTGAGAGCATAAGCGTATGTGTGTGTGAATGAGTCTATGTGTATATGCGTGCTCAAGCGAGCATGGGAGTGTGCGATTGTATACGCACGTGCCAAAGCACACTTGTATACAGACAAATCAGTCAGATCCTTACAGTGGATAGAGGATGGTCAATTATAGTTAAATGTGATCAGTTTGAAGAGTTTGGTTCATCAGACAGGACCGTAGCCTATATTTGAAACTCTTGAGTGAGGTAGACTGAGATGCAATTTGAATATGACTGTTCCAAAGCTGAGCCCCTCTATATCTGATGGAGAATTGACAAAGCCTGGTACGAAACATTGGAAGATGTAAACATTTAGTATGTCTCGTATTATACTTATGAACATCACTGTTATTCTGAAAAAATTCTTCACAAGGTATGGAAAATGAAGCAGACGGATGCAAGATTTTGTAAATTAATATACAGGTTTGATATACATTTATTTTAAAAAATTGATAAAATATTAAGCTGATTGAAGAGAGGGGCTGAGTGTTCTACCCTATTGCTGAAAGTGGCAATTCTGCAGAACGTCTTTTGTAAAATATAAAGCTTATGAAGGTGAGTGGGATATGTAGCTCCCCAAATAACATTGCAATATATAAGGTACGGATAGATTAAACTATAATAGAGGATTAATTAACACTTTTGATGAACCAAACCTTGAATTCTGCCAATGATACCAACAGACCTAGATATTTTATTGCAAACTGACTGAATATGAGTCTTCCAGCTGAGAGTTTCATCAGTTATGACTCCAAGGAAACTTGTGACTGAAACCTGGGTAACTGAGTTGTTTCCAATGGAAAGACAAGAGTTAGATCTAGAGTATTTTTTGAAGTAAATACAATAAAATTAGATTTATTAACATTGAAAGATAATTTGTTTAATAGAAACCATGTGGAAATTCTTTCTAAATCAGTGTTGGATTTGGCCATCAGTACAGAAAAATTAGAATGTGAGACAAATAAATTGGTATCATCGGCAAAAAGTACAGGAAACGTGGAGGATAATGCTGCAGCCAGATCATTAATGTAAATGAGGAATAGGAGTGGTCCTAAAATAGATCTCTGTGGGACCCCACAGGTTATAGTTGCCCTATCAGATGTTGATCCATTAATGTTTACAAACTGTTGTCGATTATGAATATAATTGTAAAACCATGTATAAGTAATTCCAGTAAAACCATAATGTAACAATTTTTGAAGTAAAATATCATGATTAACCATGTCAAAAGCTTTGGATAAATCAAGAAATACTCCCAAAGCATATTCACGATCCTCCTTTGAAAAGTCCTCCTTGAACTGAATGTTCATCTCTTTGCAGACTCTCGCCTCTCTTGATTTTTTTCCATATCTCATCTTGAATAGTTGGCATTGCAAACTGTATGATTATTGGTCTGGGCATTTTGTTGGTAGTGGCATCATTCTTTTTTCCCCAAGTGATGTACTGTGTCCACTAGTGATGCAACGGATCATCTTTGATCCGTAATCCGTGCGGATCACTCTCCACGGTTCAGCACATATGTGATCTCATATGTGCATGTAGATGTGGGATATGTGCGGACAAATTATGACAAATGATTGTCACGATGATTCATTTTATTTGTGTGCCTGATGTACACAGCACATACAGGAGCACACTTGTTATTCCTCATACTTCTTCTTCTTCTATTATTATTATTATTATTATTATTATTATTATTATTATTATTATTATTATTATTGTATTTTTCTTCTGCCAGATTTCAGTGCATAACTTGTGCCACAGCTTTGAGTGCACATAGGGTCTTCATAAAACATATAGATTCAAGATTCAAAGTGTTTATTGTCATATGCACAGTAAGGAGACACGTTTCTTTGCAGAATGAAATTCATTTTTTTCTGTCACCAATTAATGCTAAACAATATAAATCTGAAGTATAAAATAGATCAAAACAGGATCATTCACACTAATCATAATATAAATTCTGTGATACCCTGAAACACATTATATTCTTAGATAGTTATCGTACCATGCTGAGCAAAAAAAAGTCCAAAAAAGTTAATAACTTAAAAATTATGGCGAAAAAGTAGTTTCATGCAACCCTAGAATTAAGATAAATATATTCACAAACGAAAAAACACTTCTGGTTGCTGATAAGTAGTGTTTAACTTTTGATTTAACACTAAAAATTAAAACCCTCGGCGCGCACTGCAGCGCAAGCAGACAGATGCGCGACTCAGAGCAGCATGTGTCACTGACACCAGACTCAGAGCGCAGCGGACTGGTGGAAAATGTCACCATCAGCATATTATTTTACATCAAAAAATCTATTTTATCATTATTTTGAGTCACATTGTTGAAAGAATTTAGTCGTCTGTGTTCAAGCAGGATAATAGCAGGTCTCCATTCATTGCACGTCGGGCTTTCTATTTCCTTGTCGGAGATGTTTTCTTTTTTAATTACATGATAGCTATTCTCCCTTAACTCACCAGTAAAGAATAACTTTGTCCATTTCAAATAACCTGTGGCAATAATAATATCCCTGTTCTCTGATTTACTGTGAAACTTTTTTAGGCAATTCATGCAACAATCAGACCAGATAACTTCTTTACTAGGCCTAATGGGGCCGGCCTTCAGTGTT